GTCAAATTCAAATTTAAAAATGTGGACTAGTGGTCCAAGATTATACAATTTAACTTTTAATTTTATCTGGACCAGTAACTCTATCATATGAGGAAATAGAAATTATAGTAAAGACTGAAATCATAAACAATTGGGTAATTTACATAATAATAACTGCACATATCTTTGAAGAATAATTTTCTTTATGTATTCAGTTTCTTTCTACAACACCGCTTCATTTTCATTTTAGAATTTTGGGATTTAATTAAGGATTTCTGTTATTCTAATAAACACTAAATGCATTTAGAATATATAGAAAAAGTGGCTAATTTTACTTCTTTAGGTAATATGAATATTCAGAAGAAATATGAAATATATATGGCAAAGGCCGGTTACAGAGCTTGGTGTGACAGAATTTTTAGAATTTAACAACATAACATACGGAACAATAAAATCTAGAAATGGCAAAAACTTTTAGAATTTAGAGCAGGCATTGGAAAGCAGAATTTAAAAAGGGCACTAGGCAGCAGAATTTAGGATCCACAGAGATTAGCATCAGGTGAGGAAAATCCCTAGTGTCCTGCTCTGTGTATAATGCATTAATACATATTAGATGGATCTTTTAAATTGTATGTTTTCAATTTCTTTATTAATAAAAAAAATACCTTTCTATAATGCCTGTCCAAGTGATAAGATTAGAAGCAATTTTGATATTTTCCATGCTTGTGTCTAGTGAAAAGTAAAGAAAATAAAGGGAGGATAAACACGTTGATAAAAAGATTCTAGTATCAGAAGTAAAACATTCAAATATTGTTTTCATTGTTCTTCCAGACGTTCTCCGAAAAGTAAGAAATTCATCACAAACTTTCAGTAAAATACATTCGTGTTGATACCACGGAGATATTTTTTCATTCCGTCACATATTTTTCAAATCTTCTATAATCGTGGGTCTATAAATCTTGCCTTCAAATCCTTCTAAACTTTCCAAGCTGCAAAGTCTAAAATCTTAAAGAAAAATTATCCCTATCAATTTGTAACAGCAAAAAGCTGGAAATATTGAGAAAAAAAGGAGGGAAAAAGTGTAAAATTAATTTTATAGAGAAAACTGACGCAGATTCTGAGAAGTTTGAAGCCTTCTCAAACATTTGGCTTCTGCTGTTTGACTTCTGAGTTAGAATTTGGCTAGTTTATATCGATTTCCTTCTCTTTAAGCATCTTTCCTAAGAATTAGAAATTTGTCTCAATATGCAAACCAAAGCTCTCGCTAATTTCTGAGTGATTTATCTTCTAACCTATCAACTTCTCCACAATGTACCTATGAGGGTTTACTTGATCTGGTAAAAGTTAAATAGTCCAAAACGTCAGACATGCATGAAGCAAATTATCTGAAACAATTACATGGGAAAAACTATTACTATGAAAAAATTAAAAAAGACATTTTTAATTAATTAAATAGCTAATTTTGCTTTTGTTAAGAGCTGTTTCGCAAATTGTGCTTTATAGCATTATACCTTATTTATTTTTCAGATTCAAAATATTGTTTAAGTTGCCAAAATGAAACTTTATAATATGACAGCAAAAAATAAAAATGTTTTATTTTAATGTTATTTTTTAAATATAATTTCAATATATTACCATTATTTTAATGAAATTTATCAATGTTACGATGTCTTAAAAAAATCGTCGAAAAATTCCCAGATCTTGGAATTAAAAACTTTCTATAGAAACTGATCTTAAAATTGCCAAAATGTTGATAAGTCGCCAAATTTAGAACTGTTTAATAAAAGAATTCACATCCCGAAAAGCGGAAAGTTGTTTAAGAGCTCTTTATTAGAAAAAATGAATTTTGAAATGTTTATGTTTCAATTCTTGCTTAGGAACTCGAGTATCCCATCATTTATATTAGAAACAAATTATAACCCATGAACCCATCCAAAAGATAATCATATATGTCAGTGAATCGCCAAAAAATATTCCTCCAAAATGCTAATTCACACTCAAAATGGCAGTCGTAATAACAGACAGAAATTTCAGATGATTAAAATTAAGGACCTTCTGCTGATTTTGGCCAAAATTAAGGACCTTTAAGGACCAAAAATTAATTCCAAAAAATCTAAGGACTCTTAAGGACCGTACAAACCCTGTATATGCATTATATTTCCAATGCTTTACACCTTTCATGCACTAACATTATTTCAGTAGTACAGTCATAACCTGCTAAACTCATTTTGGCTACCAATGCAAATTTAATAGTTTCCACATTTTCTATCTATTCAATGTAATAAATAAACATAATTTTATGTGCCTAGATACTTCACTGAACAATAATGATTTAAAGGACCAAGAATATGCTATTATTTAATTTTACTGTTGCTTACTGATGCTTTTTTTTCCAGCGCTTATCTCATATTTTGGATCCTCATAAACCAATAATGTGAAATCCTAAAACAAACAAATCAATGCTTTCTCCGTAAGTCATGACGGGCATTTAAATCTCTTGCAATAATTAATTTTTAATTCTACAGAGTTTTTCCAGAACACGGATAAAGACAGGGTCCTTTCTCGAAGGTATACAGCAGTATGCTAATCCTATGTATTTCTGTCTTTTTGGGGGGGGAGGAGAAGGAGGGAATTTGGAATATAAATTTGGATGATCATTGCCTCTAAAGCCTCTAGGTGCAGTCGGAATTCTGCTATGTTTAATAGTGCATTCTAAATACATAAATACAAATACTACCACTAGCATGAATAGTGTCACTGTTACAAGCCGCTCTATCATTGTGGTAGCAGGCACACTGGTTATCAAAAATTTAAAAAGCCAATTATTCAAAAAGTTACATGTAGAACTTAATAAAACTGACCCACAGTATACAACACATAGTAAGGTATAAAATAATATGAAAAAAATTACCAGATAATTAAGGTGCTACAGAAATTAGCATATGTATGAAATGAACATATCAGATGTCTCAGTTTGGTGCAGGAAAATTACCTTCATTTTGGAGTACGATCTCCCCTAGAAGCAATACAACACATACTGCTATGTGCGATGCTGTCACTTATGCAGTTCTGTAGGAAGTGAGAGCCACAATGTCTGATGAGGAGGATTGACAGAACCTAGCTACACGCCTTCCTAAAGCATACCAAAAATGCTCAATAAGATTCAGGTCCAGTGATCGAGCTGGCCTCTCCACGCACTCAAATGCTTGCTGCTGAAGGTGATCATCCATGATCCAAGCACTGTATGCATCCCTTTCACGGATATTTGATGGATGATAACAGATTCCCGGTTCTCTCCAAAGCAAATAACACCTATCGCTTTGGAGACTAAACCTGGTCTCATCCACAAAGAGAACAGCCTTCCATTAATCAGATGTCCAGTGGAAATGTCGACTTGCCCAACTCAAGCGTTCCCTTCTGTGACATAACATAAGCAGCACACATATGGCTGGTCAGCTCACTTACAGACAGTGTGCATAACAACAGATATCGGTCATCAGTGCTCATCGCAGTGATTGGCCATCCTTGTCTCAACCTCCTGAATGCTGAATCTGTGGTTAAAAATTGTTGCCAAAGTCTGTGAACCACAGAAGGACTCCCTTTAGCCTTCTGTCTGACTCTGTCCTGCCTCAAGTCTCCCAATAGCTCTCCCTCACAGTTCTTCAGGCAAATCATGCATAGAGGTAATTGTTACAAATTGGCTTTCCCAGATTTCTTAATCTTGGTATCACAGCAAAATTCAGAGACTTGCTCTGAAACATGCAATTTCATGCTCTTTGCAGACGATATATTTTGACTGCAGCACCACTAATTTGCATACTGCAGTTTCACACAACAATTCTTATTTGAGAACGTATTCAAACTTTATATGGATTGGCTTATTTTTGAATGAGTTATCATTTCATGATTTTCCCTTAACATTTGGAAACCAGTACATAATTTGGGATATTCGCACTACGTCTTTCAATCAGAAGTGTCTCTTGAAGAAGAAGCCCAAGTGGTGTTCACTGAGATAATTCTGGAGTTCATGAATCTTATTCAGAACACCGGTAGCATTCCAGAAGTCGATGTTTTCTTGGGGTATCGGATTGAAGATGCAGCTGTTAGTTGCAGAAGGCATAGTATACCTCGTGTGTGGAATGCCCTTTCAGGCTCCATGGAGACACTATTGAGCTTTGGTAAAGCATTCTGGAATGTCTTGAGTATGACTGAATGATGATTCCAAACTCCCTGAAGATATGGAAGATGATGTGCAGTGTGTCTGTAAAGGAACCATCATCTGCAGGAGGGGCTGAAACCTGAAGCTGGTGTACTGGATGGTAGTAACGGCATTCATGAGAGAAAGTATATGGTATGGTCTAGAAACTGGATATAAGGCAAAGTATCAACATTTAGCAATCTGATCTGCTTGGCCAGTGTTGGGCATGATGCTTTCGAAATTGCATCTCAATTTATTATCAGTTTCATTGTTATCTGAGGTACTGTTAGTATGGATCTCTAACTATTTATCAGATTTATCGAAATAATGCTCCAGTAACTTAATGATAACTTTAGCAGAGTTATTAAAGTTTTAGTAATTCCTTTTTGACAGATGTCAAGACACTAAGATTTAAAAGGTGCAATTCAATGCATATCTACTTAAAGACAATTACGGAAAGTTTAAAGCTGTATCACGTCATCTGGACCTATGTAGGACAATATATTGGATAAATACTATTTTAATTTATGCCATTTATTAAAAATGCAAACTAATTTCTTGCAAATACTCGGATAAAATTTATGAATCCCATGCCCCTCAATTTTTTAAAATTAACTTTATAGGAAAATTTTGAAATCTAACATGGATGCTGGAGACTACAGTAGGAAAAATTATGTTTTAAAAAAACTTTAAATAAAATTAGATTACTTTTTGCTTTCCACACACTAGTGTTACAAACAAAATACCAAAAATTATTAAATACTCAAATAAATGTCCAGATCTCTATATTTTGGATCCCCTAAAGAATGTAAAATTAACTCACTTGAATTGGTGGTAAAATTGCACTAGAATTCCCTTTATAAATCTCATTCATTTTCTTTTGCAGGACCACAGCCTGTTGCGTGAGATGTCGTAAACATTCAGAACTTTCTTTTGTTTTATCATGATCTTCTCCAAGCTAAATAAATAATGAATTAATATATATATAAATTACTGTCCGAGTACTAAGGTTTATAATGATTTAATAGAAAATATTTTTAAATTAACCTGTTGTTTGTAAATGCTGTAGGTTTCTTTTTCATTCTGTAAAGCACCTCTGAATTCACCCATACATGATTGGGTTCGAGCAACTAGATGATAACTAACAGCCACTTTCAGGCTCTTGCTTCCATAATAACTGCAAGAGAGAAATACCTTGTCAAAGGGAATTAAATGAATTACATCTCATATAATCAAAATGTCATAAACAGTCACAGGACAACCTAATTTACATTAGCTTATAGGCTTCAACTTCTAAGAAAAATTTATTTTAGTAAAAGTATAAAACTATTTGATTGCATACATTCAGTTGATAGTAAAAATTCCTTAAGATGACTATCCAAGTTTCTAATGACTTTAGACATCTGTGGAAATGGTTATCTTGAAGAAATGATACATGACATCAATGTTAATTTATGTTTTAAGAAATTCTCATCATTTCAGATGTGTTTATTTGCAAAAGATGGTTACCATAAAAGGCTTCACAGCAATATACAGTATCTCTACAAACATACGCACATGTACGTATATACATAGGGTAAAACCTATTACAGTAAAATGGCAATTTGTTTTAACAGTGAAACTTGTCAAAAAACTATGAAATTATGAGTGTCAACATATATATTGACACCAATAATTTTGTCGAAACTAAAGTATTATGGATGTGGTGGTAGTAAATATATTTTTTTTAAAATTAATTTCTCAATTGCAGTTTCAACTTTGGGGGGAAATTGCAGTTTTTAAGGCTTATTATGTCATTGATAATAAGTTTTCTAATCTTGACAGCATTCAATTTATTAAATAGGAAGCTGCTACATTTATGTAATTATGAAAAACAGCTTCATTCACAAAAATAAGACAATATATCATTCTAGAGAAGCAGTACATTAAAGTAACAGCTAACAGCTTCCCCCTCATTAACATAACTTTTAAGATTATCATTTTTAGTAAAATTATAAGGTATTTCTCCCACTTTCCAAGCGTCCTTCATGGTGTAGTGGTTCTGCACGCTGGGCCGGTATTCCAGAGGTCTGTGGTTCGATTCCCGCCGAAGGCGGTTGCTAATTTTTCATCTCACTGGCTTCCAAAATATCCTAATGTCTCTACATTGGCGCCTGAACTGAAAAGGGTTGTGGATGATGATTCTCCACACCCAGGATTTGGCGACTAGGTCCCCTAAAACCTTAGTTGCCCTTTGAAAAGGGGAGTATATGAGGTATTTCTCCCACTTTCCGAGCGTCCTTCGTGGTGCAGTGGTTCTGCACGCTGGGCCGGTATTCCAGAGGTCCGTGGTTTGATTCCCGGCGAAGGCGGTTGCTAATTTTTCATCTCGCTGGCTTCCAAAAAATCCTAATGTTTCTACAAAATAATCATGTATAATTTTTCTTTTAAATTTAATATTGTAACATACATAATTTAAATATATTTATTTTATATACGTACACAAGATAGGAAAGTCATGGAATTGCAGACAAATTTTTCTTTACACACATGAAGTCAGATAACATATCTGTAAGTTTAACAATGAATTTTTTCTCTTCAAAGCATAAATGTTCACAATGTGTTTTCAAAACATATTTTGTTGCAACATGTCAAGGCAATGGAACACCAGAAGTCTGAATTAAATAGCACAATTCTGAACTAAATTTTGTGTAAAGCTTAAAGAAAATCCTAACAAATTTTTGTTAAGGTGAAATAGACATACGTCAAGCACATTTTGTCAACAGACAGCACAAAGCCTTTTCTAAAGGTCATGCAAAAAGGTGCTTAGGAAGACTTTGCCTATCCAAAATGGATGAAAACGTGGTAGAAGCAAGAAATGTGCCGATATTCCATTGATAGATGATGATGATAAGCAGTGATTTAAATATGAAAATTATTTTACTGTTCAAAGACTTTAACCAGGAGCTAGGTATGCAGAAGGTGTAAGCAAGAACAAGTAATTATATTTAAGTGAAAAAGAGTAGAAAATCAAAGTTTTCTAGAAAACCAAAGTAATTTAGAAACCTTTGCCTATTTGAAAACTTCCCAGACACGAATTACGCATGTAAATCAAATGCATGTAATCTACTCTTTTTACATTGGCAATTTTATTTTAATTATTTTGATTCTTTGTCAATTTGTTTTCTAAATTTCTCAAAATTCCCCCTTTTTAAAAAAAAAAGGTTTAGTTATTCACTACTTTTGATTTTGGATTTTACTTTTGGTTTTAAATTACTACATCCAAGCCTATATGGATGACGAAACACGAATTAAGTAATTGAAAAGTTAGGTTTGGAAGCAACTTCCCCTTGATAAGATCTGCCTCCTGGCTGCTCAACAATTATTCACTATGGAAATTAATTTAGTCTTTGAAATTTTTTATAAAATTTTTCAAGATTAAAAAATTTTTTGAAATATTATATATTTATTCATGGATTTTGATATTGCACTTAATTTACATTTGCTCTCAGAATGATATTATAGATTAGTTTGCAGCAATAATTAATGATTTGTTTGCAATTAAAATTTCATAATTTAAAATTTAAATTTTAATTAACTTTAAATTTGCTTTTTACGAATAGAAAATGTTTGTTAAATTCAAATTTCATTCCTTGCAGCAATGGCAAAAGGGAATTATTTAAATTTAATTTAACTTTACTACTTTTTCTTTTGAAACAATTTATAGCTTTAGAAATATATACATCAAAGGACTGGAATTTCTTCAAAAAATGAAATATTCAAAGACAAATCCTAAACTTTCTACTACAAACTAGAAACAGAGTATCAAAATCAGACGTGTCATGTAAATACTTATGTCCCACTCAAAAAAAGTAAGAATGAACAAAACCCAAAATTAGTGCTCAATTTTTTTTACAGTATCAAGAAATTATTCATTAGAATTCTTATTTGAAGAACAAACTATGAATCGACACTTTTCCCCAAATTAATAAGACTCCGAAAGAGGTCCCCCCCCCCCCCCATGCACAAAGAATTTCAGAGCATTTGGATTCTACATGCAGATAAAGCCCTTATTATATAGCAAGTTTCATTGCTGAATTTTTGACTCAAAAAGTTCCTGTAGAGTCCTGTCCTCCAGATTTGAGCGAACCTGATTTTACATTTTCCCACTTGAAAAGATGCCCTTTTACATTGCAGACAGCATTCAAAAATTATTTTTAAAAGTCATTACAGTCAACATATTAAGTAAATAAACTAAAAGTGCAACTGAGAAATTAACAGAATTTCTTTTTTACTATTTATTCATTTGCCTTACATTTGTAATATATAGCATAAAGAAGCATTCAATTACATTCATAATTTTGATGTTCTGTTAAAAAGATGTTACTTTAATAAAGATCTGTTCCAGTAAATGATTATATGCATTTGAATTGAATTATAATTTAAGAAATGTTGTTTAACATTCGATCTTCCTTTAAAAAAAAATTAACACAACTTACTTAATGTTTAACTTTAAGGCATTTTCTAGGAATCTCAAAGATAAGTCATATTCTCCAACAGCATGTAATATGAGGCCAATATTACTCTGAAAAAAAAAAATATATATATATATATAATACAGTACAAAGTTCGTAATCCAGACTCGTCGGGACTTCGGCGATTCCGGATTATAGATCATCAATTTAAATCTGCTAAGATGGCATGCAGAAATTATACAATTAAAAATATGAAACCATAATTTATGAAATAAAGAGCAATTATGATCTAAAGGGTATCAAAATTTACAAAAAAAAAAAAAAAAAAAGCTTAATATTTATTTGTTTACTTTATTAAACATTTCTTTCAATGTAAGTTGTTTAAGTTGCTTCGTTTTTTGTGCTAATACTTTCTCTTTAATTCTATAAACAGACATAATTTCTCGTTCAGTTACAAAGTTCCACTGTTCAAGTCCTGTAATTGCTGTGTCAAGAATACTATCTAACTTGTCAATCGAAATTTTTTCGTTTTCAATAACCTCTCTGTCACTTTCTTCATTGTCGGAAGCTCTCATTAAATGCACATGCGTAAACGCATTATGCACATGCGTAAAGCATACAAAAAAAAAAAGTTTCTGGCTTTGAGATTCAGATTATAGATCATTCTGGATAATGAATATCCAGATTATAGATCATTCCAGATAATGAACGTCTGGATTACGGACTTTGTACTGTATATATATATAAGAATCAGCATACAAACATAGTATAGATTGACAGAGCCACACAGATGGAAATGATGGACTTGTTGGGAGATGTGGCTGAATTCAAAATGATTTTATTAGTGGATAAGCCTTTTTTGGAGACACAATATTTATTTCACACTGAACTGTGGGCGCATCCCACAATCCACAAAAATGGATAATAGAGTGGCCCAAGTAGCACGTGCATGCTAGAGCAGGAAAGAAAGGCAAAAAAGAGTGCGAAGTTGGTTTGCGTCAGCATTTTTAGTAAAATTTTTCTTTAATGTGATTGGCCAAGAATTTTCAGTGAAGAAGGTTAAGATGACATCATGTAAAAATAGTTTTTAGATATGACAGTTTTGAAAAAAGCTATTACTATTTTTAGAATAGAAAGAGGGAGTGCCCAAATTTAAAAGAGCAGAAATTAAGTGGCTATTGCTAATTTAATGTATAATTCATAATTAGATATTTTTTAACCTTACACTCACACACATATATATTAAAGAATGATTTTGGAAATTTCTCAATGATGCAGCTGTCATAAAATAAATATATTAAATATGGTAAAACCATTACCTTGACCTTTTTGCAATTCTCCCCCTTTCATAAAATTAATCAAAAGCTTATTCAAATGCAGTAGATTTTGAAACTTTACATACTTAACACAATCTGTTAATTTTAGTTCTTGCCTCCTTTTCTCTTATTTTGCCCAGTAAGCTAGATAATAAAAATGATAAAGAATTATTTGATCTTCGATTTTTATCATAATTTACATCTCCTGAAATGTACCAAACACTATCAGCTCATACCACCACCAAAAAATAGAAACTAATTTTGCAACTATCAGAACTACCTTAAAAAAGATTTGAAACACACTGTTTTTCAAATTGCAGTTATAAATATTGCCTTCTCCCAAATTTCTTTATATTCACAGCAATTACATCTTTAAATTCATTTTTAATCACTGCACTAGTCTTAGAGGCTAATTTTCATTAACTAATGATGCATTTAATTTAAAAGGTATAAAAAACTAATGAAACACACTGAAGGATAATATGCAAAAGTACAATGAAAGAAAACCTCAATATTAGTATAATTAAATAACCTATTTTACATAAAAAATGCATACCAGACTGTTCCGGTGCACCAGAACAGAACAACTCAACCTGACTCTTTCGCATTTGGAACTATGCCAAAGAACATTGAAGTATCTAGTTCCTTCACATTACATCGCAACATAAAGTTTTTGGAGGCACCGGCGAGATTAAAGGAATTTTGATTTCGGGTACGTCAGCACTGCAACTCTACATTCGGTACAGTACTGGATACTTATAGCATCGCACTTCATTTAAAGACCAAGCAAGATAAGTATTTTTTTTCTTTTTTACAAGTTTGACTTTGGTTTTCCTCACTGCACCATTACGTCATAATGGAAGACAAGGTTAAGATTGCAAAAAATAGTAGAGGTAGAGCGAAAGCTGCTCTAACCAGAATTTCAAATTTCATTCATGATGATATACAATTATTCGAAAAACATGATTTGATGAATAAACTTCAAAAAATTGAAAGCGTTTATTCTGATTTTGACAAGGCAGACGCAGAACTTCCGCCGGAAAGTGCTGAAATGGAAGAATTTGAGAAAAAAGATTATGAAACCAAAGCCAAACTACAACAAGAACTTGAGAAACTAAATGTTACTATTAATATGCAAGTGACTAATGTTAATGAACATCAAATACAGGTTATCTAGTACTACAAATACTGCTAATAATTTTAAATTACCGAGAATAAATATGCAATCTTTTAATGGTAATTACAGAAACTGGATGTCTTTCAAGGACTTGTATGTATATCATTAGTGCATAACAATGAAAATTTAAGCAACATTCAAAAATTTCAATATCTAAAGGGTTTATTAACTGATGAACTGGCTTCTATTATTAAACATATTCCCATTTCAGAAAATAGTTATATGGAAGCCTGGGGAAAATTATTATCTAGGTATGATAAGAAAAAACAAATTGTCACATCACTAATAAAAACTTTCATGGATCTTCATGGTCTTGTGTAATTAATGCAAATGCAATTAATTTGCGAAAAATTGGCGATACATCTGATGAAATTATCACAGGTTTAAAATCTATTGATCCAAAACCGTGCGGTTTTGCAGCTGAGGATGGTGGTTCGGTAAAACCATCGAAACTAGTCCTGTGAAAAATTTTGTAAATATAACGCTGATTTTTGTTGTTTGACTTCTGAATTAGTATTCTTCTGAATTAGTATTGACTTTGAATTAGTATTTCTGAAAAAAATTAAAATCTATAAAATACAAAATACAGATCTATAAAATATGTTGATAAAAAAATGTCATCAAATGTTTAAAATTCAGACAATTTTTAAACCCTCATATGGCATGGCCACTTTTACCTAGTTGTGAAATTTATTCCTACTTTACTACTAAGCACATACCCTTTTATAATCTGTGGCTTATTTACTTTATTTAATGACATAAAAGTTATAAATTGAAAATTTATAACTTTTATGTAAAACAGTAAGCTATGTAAAACAGTAAGCTACGTGTATGAAACAGTAAGTATGTAAAACAGTATGTAACTTATGTAAAACAGTAAGCTACGTGTATGATGCAGATGAAGGTAGTAAATTTAGCATTTTGTAAATGCATCTAAAAGTTGGACTCTCAGATGGTTAGTTAAAAGTTTACTTACATCTAGTACTGCCATTTCAGGATGGTTTTCTCCACAAACAAGAAGAGTCAAATATCTAGCACGATACAGGAGCTTCAAGGCTGTAGTAATTTGTGAATTTGCAAAACAGTACAAGGCTAGATGTGTCTGAAAGATAAAAAATCTCAAAATTAGTACATTGTGTTATCAAACAAATCCATGCTCTCATAAATAGTAAGTAACACAGCTAAGAACCTGATTAATGAAAAGAATGTTTTTCTTTTATAAGTAATCGAAGAAAGAGAAGGAAAAGCAATTACAGACAGCAGAAATCACATTTTGGGGTGCAAATAATGCAATGTCACAAAATCAGTTAAATAAAAATAAGAAGTTTAAAGAATAACAAAGTCAGCAGAAATATGTTGTAAATCAGATTGTTGGAACAGCTGAAAATCAGGAGTCTTGCATCTAAATCAGAAGTTTCACCTGTTAAGTGCTTTGCCATGTTTGTTTCACTTAAAAATACAAGGCTTGAAAAAACTAATCATTAAAGGTAAAAAAAAGTTAGAAAAGTTAATCTTGAACTAAAAAAAAATTGGAAATTTCTTCTTAAAAACTAATTTCAACATTTATAACATCAATATTATTGAAAAAAATCAGCTTTTTTCAGTTTTTGAAAATTTCAGAATGAATGAATCATGAAAAAAAATCATGAACTTTAGTGTAAAAATTCCTGATCTAAAATAAAATTAGCATAAAATGAAATATAAAAAAAGGAAAGGTCTGTCGGCTTAACATAGATTTAAATCATGTGGACTTTACATTTCCACATGTGCTCTTTTATTTTTAGTTCTAAGAGACTTCAATTGCAATGACTTCAGAGCTTAAATTTAAAATTAATGTTATCTATGCTATTAAAATCTATGCATGTTCTTGTTTGTTTGTTTGTAACACCATCTCCTATGGAATGATGGGGAGTTGAGTTACAAGAGAGGTACTCCCAGATTGCAAAAATTCGCGGGAAACCATTTTGACTATTCTCATCTTCATATGTCTTCAGTCAGCCAAAATAGTAATTAAAAACTATGAAAACACTAATTTTCGCACCATGCAAGTTGCCTTTTTTACTCAACTTCATTGCTGTTTAGCGTGCTGCATCAAAGTGCGCATGAGGTGGAATTTTAAAATTCCCAACCATCTTTTCTAAATAGAGGTAGAGTAAAAATTTTTACAGAATAATGGAGCTTGTTTATTCCTCCACCACTTTTTCTCTATTTTTTCATAGTGATGCTTATTATGAAATTTTCTTAAAAATTCTGAATTTAAAAAAATATTTTTTTTTTTTTTTTTTTTTGGTTTTTCATTTAAATATGAAACAACTCCACAAATTGTCCATAATTTTTTTCCGGATGTATAGAGAACTGATTCCATTCATAATGAAATGTTTTTAAACATTTCCTTTCCAGGTGTGCACATAACTAAACTTTGCTTTGGCCGCAACCCTCTAGTACAAATCTTAATTCTTCTGCTACATATAGCATTTCAAATAACAATCTTTTACTATTAATTTTAAAACAAACACTTAAAAATTAATAAATGAAAGATTAGCTTTGCAGAGTTTGAACAGACAGATATAAAGAAAAAGAAAAAGAAAAAGAAAAAAAAAAAAATACAGAAATTCAAAGCAAAAACCAGTACAGACAAAATTAATTTATTGCTGACAGCAATTTTATCAGAATGTAGTCTAACTTTATTGTTTTTATTGCAAATAAATGCAGCAGAAGTTATAATGTTATGCACAGATGTTGGAATGTGAGGCTTGAAATGTGCTTGTCTGTGTGTTTCTCTAAACACTGATGTATTAGTGATTACATATAAATTTTTAAAAATATACTCACATATTCAGAAATTGTGTAGGCATGGTCAATTCCATTTACTCTTTCACTCATAAGGACAGCTTTCTGCTGAAATGCCATTGCCTAAGAATATAGAAATAAGTCACTCAAAAACGCAGTCAAGAAAAACATAAAAGGCAATAAAAACATTAAAACTTCAACAAAAAAAAAAAAAAAAAAAAAAAAAAGAGTCTAAAAGAAATGTACACTCAACTACAATACATATTTAAATTTCCAGAATCAAGAGTCTGGATGCTCCCAGCATAACAGTTACACTATTTTGGTCAAGGATTGGCATATTCCTAGCAGAGCAGCTTTATCATTCTTTTACAGATTTGTGATATACCCCAAAATTTTTTTTCCCTTCATTCAGTTGAAAGAAAGCTTGCTAATTCTGTATATACACTTGCTAGTATTTTAGCGAGTTATTTAACTAACTACAGTACGTTATATAATTTTTCTTTCATTTGTGGTCAAAGTTATTTAGTGATTTTTCTTTGCTACTATTTTCAATTGTACTGTTTCTATATTGTTTTACATATATAAACATATCCATATTTTTATAAAAATATTTAAACACAGGAATAAATCCTTAAGGTTTACACACAAAAAGCAATAATTTATATTTCATCAGATACAGTCTGTGAAGGTGTCAGTTCCAATATGATATAGTCTCACAGTATCTCCCAAACAATATTAGTGATAGTATCTAATGAAACTGATGTAGAAATATACCCACTGAAAATTTTCCTGCAGCTATAGATGAATTTATAGAACAGTGTACTCAATAATAGAGATGCATTACTATCAAACATTATTTTTATGACATAATCACAGATCACTATGCCATACAAAATTTGTTTAAAATTTCCAATCAGAATATAGTATGTCACAATACATATAAACCCATTTTAAAACTATTCCTAAAGATCAAATTTTTGGACCTGGAAATGTTTAAGATCTGAAAGCCATGGAGAGATTATAAGATAACGAAAATTAGTACTCAAGCATTAAAGAATGAGACATAAAAAAAAAAAGTAAAAGGGGAAAAAAAGCAATATTCAGATTTTGAGTGATGCATGTGTGAACAGCAGAACATCAACAGCCCATTTCAAAACAATCACCTAAAATGGATATGGAATTTTGGAATAATCCCGATACTGAAGTGATGCAAGTTCAGTTAGCAAAATGCTTCTTTAATAGTTGCAGTTTCAGTACTTATGACCATGAAACTGTTACCAAGCAATACGATTTAGCACCAATGGTAGATAAGCATGATGTTACAATATACTAATAACTACCTTTTCATTTGATGAAGTCCAACTCATCCTCAATAATTCACCTTTTGTTTTTATGAACAAAATTATGAATTAACTGTTATTGTTGCGTTTTTCCCTTCCATTATAGAATCACATTTGTGATTACAGTCCAGTTCATTTACAGCTGGTTGGGAAAATCTACATCTGTTGATTTGGGAAAAGTATAGCTGGATATTGCTGATAAAACAGCAATACACTGGATAAACACCAGCAGGAAGTTTGTAATGATAGCATTCTAAATAGAGCTTTCACTAAATTCAGAGGGCCTAACAAAATAACAGAAATCCCTTAAAGCAATTTTACAAAGCACAAAATGATGTGAGTCAAGTACTTTTGCAGCAGCGGCCATTTAGTAAGATCTCTGTCAACTTTCACGGTCAATAAGATAATACGTTAGTAGTTTTCTTAACTTGCATAGGTTTATATAATAAATGCTAACCTTGTTACCTTTTGCCTTATACACTTTTATATGCTATATATAAATTTCTTCCAATCCATAGAATATTTTTTTTTCAAGTTTCCTTTTATGGATGATTTGCATAAAAAAGGATTAACTATGCTACAGCATGATAAACAAAAGAATAAGCATTATATCTGAAACAACTTAGATATTAAAGAAAAAATTTTGATACTTGCAGGAGTCATTTAAAGTATAGTGCTCCCTCATTATTATGTGGAAGCAAAGTGCAAAACTGTTCATTAAAAGTAAAATAGAAAATTTGAATTTCTGATTAATTTGGAAAAGAATTATAACATTAAACTTCAAAAATTATTCTTGTGCATTTCAGTCAATAACTTACATTAATAAAAAGCAACAAATAAAACATAGCAGTAGAAATTACAATGTACAGCAGACAATAAATACAAGACTGTATTTATTGAAATCAAAATATCATATAAAACTAATTTGATATGCACATAACATATAAATGTTCCACATAATTTTTAATAGATTTCTAAAAATTTTAGTTGCAATTCGGACATCTTATTTTCTTGTTTTGTTTGTAGCTGTTGTTCTGATAGATGATGATAATGGCATTTTTTTAATGTAATCCATTTTTAAGCTTAAAATAGCTCTGCAGTTTTTTTTGAATCAAGTCATTCTTCTTCATTCCAGATCTTTATCCCTGACTGCGAAATGTTTTTGAACTGATGTTCTTCTTTCAGAGACTTGAAATAAATAAATACATTTATATAAACATCAATACAATCCAGCACATTTTAACAGGTCTTATTAAGTTGAAATAAATTTCTCAGAAATTACTTTAATATTGATTGATAATTCATATCGTTTTGACTAGTTTCTACAGATATGTTGTCCCACATCAAACTAATAGCGTCCATGATTTCTTTCAAATACAAGTGGATAGATTATAGGGAATAAAACATCAAGTTGAATTTTTAATCTATATCAAACCAAGAATGCAGCATTCATGAAAAAAAAGTTTTTTTAACTTCAGAAAAAACTACTTTACTACATGGAATGTAATTCTACGACTATATTATTTGAATATAGTTAGGTAACACCATTTTAAGGAATAAACCTTACAGATTCCAAGCAGATTGGCCAGTGGCGGGGCTTGACCATTGAAATGGATTTGAATAAATTTCTGGAGAATCTGCTAGATTGATCCAAGAAATATTTTGTTTAACCAATCCCATCCAGACTTGAAATTTGGCTCTCTGGGAAGAAATTTTCATTGAATAACTATGTCATCACAGTTGTCAGTGTGTCTTACAATCAAGCAAAAAGTACATTTCCAGTGGGGTAAAAAAATATAAACATAGTGAACTAAATGACTAGAAGTGGCTTATAATGCGAATTGTGTTGAGAATTAAAATTTGATTCTTCTGAAAAGCATACCATTTAAACTGTTTTTTTACATGACTTATCAAATAGCTCACGTATTTTATTCCAGACATTTTCAAAAGAACAAGTCATGAAATATTTTGGAAACTGTACGTAAATCAAAATAAATTTGAACACCAGAACAAAGGAAATCATATTCAGTATACTAAAATGTTTCTGCTTATGATGAAGGTAATTTTTAACAGCTTTTGTACTAACACAAAAAGTACTTGCCACTAAAATACAAGGGCCAATTTCAGGTCCAAAGATACCAATTTTTAATTTGTGCATAAACTGAGACTCCAGTAGATCTTTGAGCAAAGAAATGTCTATACTAATAAAGTCAATACATGAAGCAAAATTTATATAGATAACTTTTCTCTTCACCAATAAGTATATATAAAAATACAATATACTTTAAAATGTTGCCAAAATGATTAAGGTAAAATAAACACCCATTTATTATACTTGGAAACATATTTTAAACATTACATTTCATAAAATTAAAGATGAATATTTAATTAATCACATTATCACCTATGCATAGCAAAATCAACAACAAAAATTTTTAGAAACAGAGTCATCAAATCTTACCTCTTGGTGATCACCCATTATATAATTTAATCTTGCTAACATTCTAAGACATTGAGAGATCTCTGGGTGCATAGCACCATAAACATTATTTAATAAATTAAGAGCTTCAGTAATAAGTTCATAGCCTTCTTTCAAATAGCCTTGCTGTATTTTATTCTGTCCTGTAGTATAGAAATTATATGCATCTGTAGCCTGAAAAATAAAAACTAATATATAGAAAATTAAAAATCCTACAAAATACTTTTATAAAAATTTTATGAACATGAGAAAATTTTAAGATAATAGTTTATGCCATTTTTTAATTTCTAAACCAACTAAATTATCTAAATATCAGTTATTGAATATTTTAAAGAAAACAACATTCCAAATTAGCATGACGTCTCCACTCCTCATTTATCTATCGCTATTACAAATCAGATACATGACAAAATTTAAAGCAGTGCACATCAAGAAAAAGGATACAATGCATAGAACGTAGAGAAAATTCTCTATAAGCAAAGAGTTTAGAATTATATTTAATACCAGTCAATTACCTTTTATTTAACTGTTAAGTTCACATTATGCAGTACCTATCTAAATCTGTTCAATCACCATAAATTCAATATAACTATATGTCCCTTTTCCATAACAATGCACATATATAATGCTGTTTCAATATAATATACCATTCACAGACTGCAACAAATGTTGTATAAAGTGGTATTTATGCAATTAAGTTTCAACACAAATTTAGTAAGCAGAATAAAAGCAGTTTACTCAGGAAATGCTTTTCCAAAGTTTTGTTCTCAGTATTGAAAGTTATGCAAAAAAAGCATAAATATCAGCTTCGAAATTTAATTTATTCCAATCAATGTTTTAGATGGAAAAATCGAATGAATTGAAATAAAAAAATAACTTATTTGCTACCTAACATTACCTTACTCATTAAAGCCACTGGATTGAGAAAAGTAATTTCAACATTTAAGTCATGTAACTTATATTTGCCAAATACTTCAATTAAAATAGAAAAATCTACAGAACTGAAAATTTTGTACAAGATGTTTTAAGTGAAAAAGATATATAGCCTTTCAAGAAGTTTAATATAATTATTTTTCAAATATAGTAATACATCAAAATTAACCAATACCTAAAAATCAGCATAGCCTCTCAGATGGCAACCTGAAAAACAGACAGCATTGGCAATTTTCAGCAATATTTGGAAATTACTAGCGACAGATTTCTTCCAACAAATTATTTTCAATAAGCTATCTATTTTATTTATTATCACTTTTAAAATTGTGGGTAAATAAATACAGTTACCTAATATTAACTGTTACCTTATATTACCTATAAGGTAACAGTTAATATAAGTTACTTATAAACTGTTACTTTATATTACCTAAAACTGTTACCTTATATGCACAATTAAAGATTAAACCATAGATTAATGCAAAGATTAAACTGTTTTCAATGAGCAACAGTACAATAACTGAAATTTTAAATTAACGGAGCATCCAACAAGATTGCACAAATATGCCAAGGAAGCAATCTTACAACTGTAAACCATATTAAACACTGCATGCTGAATTTAATTCAATTCAGATACACTTTATGTGCAAGATTTTCATAAAAGAATTTATGTGAATTTTAAAACTTGACAATTTTAAAATGATAAAAAAAAGGTCACTAAATTCTTAGTGACCTTTATAAATAAAAAAATTATCAACAGTGAAAGACTGTTCAAATAACCACAATAATGTTTTCGAGCACTGATGTCTTCAGTATATTCTAAAGTTGCCATTATCATTTCAGGCTTCATTTTATGATAACATTTATGCATGCTGACAATTGTTAGATTAATTCTGAAAACATATCGGAATTTTCAACATTTATTATAAAAACTGAATATAATACTTTACATCATATCAGATTAAGTTCTAAATGAACTCTCAATATTCCTGAAAGCAATAAGGAATTTAGAACAAAACCATGTGACTAGGACAATGCTAAGCATAATAATCTGATACAATCACTGCAGGTCCTAAATTCTGCTGCCCAATACCTCCTTAAATTCTAAAACTTTTGCCATCTCCAAATTCTGCTGCCCAGTACCTTCCCTAAACATTACCGCTCAATGTGGATCTAAATTACAAAAAGTTTTACTGCCCCTAAATTCTTGCACCTGGTGAAGTTGCACCAGCTCTGATGTTCACCTGCATATGACCGTTTAAGAAGCAATTGCTCTGTAATTTGAGGCAAGAAAGACTCGAATATCTTAAAATTTTAAATCAAACTACTGAAATAGGTGTTTGAAAAATATAAAAAAATATAAAATATCTTTTATTTCCTTTTTATATAATCTATATTACTCTATAAAAAGACAAAAAGAAATTAATTGCTCTTATTGTTATTATTATTCCTTTTCTTAATCTAAATATAATGATTTTTTATTTATGACCTGAAATCCATAAAACTCTGCTCAATCAATCAAAAAATATCTGCTCACTCTGCTCAAATATATCTGCTTAATCTCAGATCTCAAGCAATATAGACTTCCGATATTTTACAAACTGCTTCTTCGTGCATAACCTGAAGCTCTTAGCATAATTTTTATGAATGCTACTGTTTTCCAGAACCTAAGCTTAGGGGCTACCTCAATTTCTCCCCCCCAAAGGAAATGATAATTTTAGAAAACCTTGACTTGTGAATGAATCTTGTGAATTCTAACTGAAAATTTTAATCATCCAAATTTAAGCCCAGCGGAAAAGTTTAAGGAAACGAGAATAATTTATTAGTATTTGATAATGAGTAAATTTTGCCCTCCTAAATCCTTTTTTATACTATCTCCCAAATATATAAATTCTATGAAAACCACATTTTTCTACTGCTTACAGCATATATAATATATTGAATGATAATTACAGCATTAATCAGCCATAATTCATATTTTACACAGGAAATGTAATTCAAAAATTTATAACAAACAGTTTTTTTCCCCTTTATAATAACAGCAGAAAGAAGGGACTCATATCTATCACAGTTATCTTCAAAACTAATTTAATTCACAATACCAGAACAAAGATAAAAATCAATACAATATTTAATCTCAAGCACAATATCAATGTTTAAGATAATAAGAACAGTTATACAGAATAAACAGGGAATTGTCTACGAAGAGCATTTGCATGATTGAAAATTAAATTTTTGCAGAAATATAATAAAAAAGTACATTTATCAGAAGACTTTACAGATATTATAGAAAAGGCTTAATTAGAAGTATAACTGGAACCCTAATTTAAAGAAGCATTCATAATAAAGTTGCTTTTTTGTTATTAAAAACAACATTCACACTTTATTAAAAAAAGCCAAGCATTGTAATCATATACAGTAAAAGTGTTTCATATATAGTAAAATCTTGACTTATCTAGAAAGTCGAGGGAATGCCAAATGTTGAGTAATTGAAAACAGTTCAGTTGAGTGCATAAAAAATGCAATTCTTGGTAGAAATGTCAAATGAAATTGAGAAGAAAATACTGGTTTAAAATTATAAAAATTATCATCTACTTATTATCAGATTGAATTATAAAAACTATAAAAGCCTACAATTAACATTATGCAAGATTTTGGAAGGAAAAAAAATGGATCTTTGGCATGAAAACTGATAAATATTTACACCTTAAACATATGAAAGTTAAACATCTTATCCACTTATGGAATCATATTGACCCAGAAAAGTAACAGAGATTCTGCCAAACTTGTGCCAATCATATCAGCAGACTTTTAAAAGAACTAATCATTCTTTATTTAATTTGATAAGCAAGAGATACATGCTACAGATACAACATATAAAAACTTTATACAGATACAACCACAATTTTTCATACTGCATCACCACTGTTTATCTGTTTTCAAATAAATTCCCATATCATACACATAATCATAAACCTTTCTTGATGCCAAAATCTCATAATTTTGTAACTACTCCTCTTTTGTAAATGCGTGGGAAAACACAAACATCAGTTCACTTATATTCTTCTTCAGAAAACCTAAGTCAGCATTTAGAGAATTAATCAGATTAACATAAAATCAAAGCAAAGATCTTATATTGTGACATCCCACTTGCACATTATTGGAGCTGAATTGCATTGTCTGGCTACAGTTTTTGTTTGCTTAAAGTTGTAGTTATATATGTGTTTTTGGCTTATTTTTTACTTTACGGAGTTTCTTATTTGCTTAAAAAACTGTATTAAAAAAAAGTTCCTAAAATTAAAAAATATTCTAGTTGCTTGAACTTTCCAGTTAGTTGAATGCCAGATAGGCAGGCTTTTATTGAAACTTAGAAAATAAATTTCAGCATTGAAACTGGAAAACAATTTCCAACAAGTACTTTCTCAGCATACTACTAAAAAATATATATGCACAAGGTATTCAACGCAAAGGGAAAAAATAATATTTTCTAAGTGCTTATTTAAGTTATTAAAATTTTATAAGTCTATAATAATGAAAAAATATTATTGAACATGCAATTAGCAGAAAATATTTTGTTAGCTGTTTACAAAACTGAGATATATAGAGACAGAAGAAACACAGAGGTGGGAAAAACTATAGTTATGTACATTAAAGAGGTTTTTTTTTTTTTTTTTTTTTTTTTCCCCCAATGTACATTGTATATTTGTAGCATTATTAATACAAATAATATTAAGTTTCGACAAAAATGTAAATAAAATCTACAATTCAAACAACAAAAATTCTGTGTAACACAGAATTTCAATAACAAAAACTTCACTAATGTTTTTTTAATAACTAAATTATACAGTAAAGATGCAAGCAGATATCTGCAGATCTGGCCAAATTACGTATAAATTAAAAATTACAACGCTCAGGCAAAAACTTACTCTTGGGTTTATATGCTTTACAACAGGAAAAATATTTAGTATATCATCCTCTGTAAAAGTAGGTTTGGTTTTATGATCAAAGTTGTATTCCCTTAATAATAATTGAATTCCAGTTTTAATGCAAAATGATCGCATCAGTGATATTTTTTGCAGAGAAAAATGTTCGATAATGGCATCAATAGAATCGCAAGGTAACTCCCATGCATAATATGAAAGCAGCTCATTCTTCATATTGTTCCAAAATGTTTTAGTAGACAGAAGAGCCCATTCATTATTATCTGCAAGTATCAGAAAAAAAAAAAAGATTCAAAAATTTATAAATCGCTATTAAAGCATCAAAAAAGCTTTTTATATTCAAGTTAGGCACAGCAAGGATTAGGATGATATGCAAAAAATATGTTATTTAAAATTACATGCACAAATTTATTTTTCTGCGAAATCCAAAAACATAGTTTCATAATCTTTATTTTATATTTATATATTTTTTTAATTTAGAAAAAATTGCATTCTTAGCTTAAAAGTTAATTTTAATCATATTTTTTAAAAGTACTTCCATATTACATACAAAACACAAACATCAAAATATTGAACTGGAATTGAAATTTTTATGCACGCTTAAAATATAAAAACATATTAACTAAAATTGCAATACATTTTGGTGTTTAGTAAAATTGCAAAAAATTTTTAAATGGAGCAAAAATAAACAGATTTTAGACATCTAAAATGCTGATTCTTTTCCAGAATTCATTGAAAAAAAGGTCTATTGCTTTTTCTCCAAAATGTATAACTTAAAAAAAAAAAAAAAAAAAAAAAAAAGACTTAAAGATAAGAGTTGGAAAATGATGAAAAATTTGAAAGCTTTTAGAAAAATTACATAACTTTTTTATACACAAGTTTCACTTCTATAGTTTAAAATGAAGTGGAAAACATAATACTAATTCGTCTAATTCGATTTCGTGTATGAAAAAAATATAGCATTGCCTTCTCATTGAAATCATTTCAATTATTCAAGAATTTTTTAAATATAAGAGAAGAAAACATAGATAATTTCCTGTAAAAAGATAAGAATGACACAGGCTGTAAGATTTTAATCAGATTAAGATTTTCTTGTTTCAATGATTCATGTGAAACCAATTAAAAAGTGGGACAAAGAAAATGAACATGAAACAGCAAGAGGAGCCATAGTATGTGCAGAAGTTGTATTATGCAGGTTAATAAAAAGGAGAAATGCTTTTCCAGAAAAATACTCTCCTGTATTAATTAAACCCTATTTTAAACATTAATGTCCATGGCATTCTCTTAAAAACCTCTGAAGAGTCGATTTTTATGATATCATTAAATATTCCTCTGAAATATAATCATTTATGAACATAAATTTATACCAGTGCATTAATCAATATGGACAATTAGAAACTCCACCATTAAAAATTAACACTTAAATTTTAACACCACAAATACTTACCTTCAAATCTTAATGGATTTTGTTTACCCTTTCGTTTCCCTTTTCGCTTGTACTTGACCTGAAGCTGCTAAGAAAGCAAGAAACTATTAGAGAGAACATATAAATAATTTTAATTATCATAAATACAGAAAACCTTAATAGATCAGTTAAAAAGATTTTATACTGAACAAATGCTCTATTAAACTGAACTAGTAAAAAATTTAAAAATAACTCATAAAATTGAAAATAAGAATAATCAAAATATAAAACTCACTTCTTCTGAAGAGACTGGACTTGGCAATGAAGTACAAGAGGATAAAAAGCAGTTGAGAAAATGGCTCGTTGCACTTGATAAACACATGGTTTCAACTCCTTGAATGTAATGTGAAAATAAATGCTTTGCTGCTCTAGTCAAAAGTTCTGATACAATTATCCTCTGTAAATAGAAAATTAAGAAGTTAAAAAATTAACTCATCACAACTACAAAACAAGCCAAGTTTATACACATTTCTGAAGAGAAATCAGCAAGACATAAATCCCTCAGCATTCTAATAAGGATATTGTTACATTTCAATATACTGCTCATAATACTGACATACTCACCAACACATATTGCAGCTGAGGAACTTTGGCCACCATATCAGCAATTTTTCCAAGATATCTGATACTGATCCCCCTAAAACATGATGTGCCACATGAATTTATGAATTTAAAAACTTCTAAAACTGACAAAAACATATAAACTTATGAATTTAAAAAACTTAAAAAACAGACATAAAAACAAAGTAGTTCAAAAAAATCTTGTTGCAAATAATGACAACAGATAAATTAACTGACACATGTTAATAAGTAATATATGAAATTAAAAATTAACTATCAAAATTTGTCTACAAGAGATCCTTTTATCATACAATGCACATCCCCAGTTTAGTCTATTTCAGTTTGCACATGTTGAAGCATACCTGATGCAATGCAACAGCACAGTAAGTGTGGATTTTGACTTCATCAAGGTCGACTGCATAAAAACAACAGCTTTAACAACCTTACAAAAAGAAACTACAATGAGTATGGTCACGCAAATACGGAGGTTAGTTAAGAAACATATTAATATGCTCTTCAGCAACCAACCCAATTTCTGGGGGAGATGTTCATTCAGAACTTCATTCTGCTGAAACATGAAACATTTCTCTCCTCCAATATGCATGCCTTCTTGTTTTAAATGGAAAGCACATCCAGCCAGCAGTTGAAAAGTCTGGAGTTCAAATCCCACGAAGGACATAGCACATCTTTCACAACTTCAGCTTTGAAAAACCTAATGACTCAACAAATGGCATCCAAACTAAATGGTGGTAAATAGTTAATTTATCAATACTAGGATTTGGCAACTGGGTCCTCCTTCTTCCCAGTCATCTTTAAGTGGGAGAAATGTAAGATTTTTCTCTCTCCTTAGAATGCCTTCATGTAGTGATTGGAAAGCATGTCAGCCTAGCAATCAGAAGGTCCAGAATTTGAAGCAAAATACATTTTCACATCTTCCGCTTAAAAAACCCTAATGGCTCTGCAGCGTAATTATTAAAATCTTGATCCAGTTGGGAAAGCATATCCAAGCAATACAGTTACAACTTGCTTGGAAATCTATAACATATCCAAGCAAGTTGTAACTGTATGCTCCTAGAACAAATGAAAAGGTCCATTGTGCATCCACATTACATATTTGTGCAGGTTTTCTATGCCCCTCCCCATACACAGGGTGTCAACAAATCACTTTTTAATAAATATATATATCATATCTTTTCAAAAATTTATTTGAACTTTTGTTGCAAATTATGTTGATCTAGGCAGTTTGAACTTGAGTATTTCCTTTTAAAAGATTTTTCAGCATTTATGAAACTTCATTTTTTTTTTTTTTAAGAAACTGCATTTGTTCTCGCCATTATTATTAAAAGAATTTTAAGACGTTCCTATGAATAATTTTTAATTAAATTCTTTGTTAATTCTAAGCAACTTTCATAATTAATTTTTGGGAGATTTTTCTATAAAATCTTCGTAACTCTCAGTAGCTTCTTTTGTATCTTTATAAGCCTTTTAGTATAAATTTGAGCATTCTCAGCAGCCTTTTGTTTCAGAGTTTTCTGGTTTTTTTCGATTTGGATAAAAGCTAATTTAATATGCATTCGATCCACCCTTATTTTAGGTTTTAAATACAGATCATATTAATTTGTTGCTCGTTTTGATCAGGGTTTTCTGTAGTTGTATATGACTGAAATTAGTTCGTTTGGCCTTTTCTGCATTTTAGTTTTTCAGGTTCTTGCCTAATAAAAAATTTTTTGTGGTTTTTATTTGAATCTTAATAAATATTTTTTTTTTTTTTTTTAGTTTCTATTTATGTATTGTGTGTCTAAGGGGTTGCGAATGCACGTAGGGAAAAAGTCTGAGTATTTGAGAACCACTGAAAGTTAATTTAAATTGAAAGTTTGTTTCAAAAATAACGGTCTTGAATCTCAAATGTTTCAGAGGAACGAAACATGTATCTGGAACTCATTAATCAACATGGTCTAGAGCTTAAAAACACTTTTCTCTTGGTAAGTTATGTTTGAAGCATTAAATTGAGGAGATTAATATTTCATTTATATTTCTTATTTTATTGTATAATACTTTCAGTATAGTATCAATATCTGTAGTTTAATTCTTACTTGTACATGACTTTCTTCGAGAAACAAATGATGAGGGCCTTCATAGGAAAGAAATTGTAAACTTTCATTCAAGCTCTGAATTTTCTAATTCTTTTAATAATTCTATATACATATATTCATTTAAATGATTTTAACTATTTTTTAAGCTAATTTATTAAAGTCACCATGCATTAAAGGTTTTCAAAGTAATTAAACCTCTCATTAGATGATACTAAGAAATGTAATATATATTTTTATAAACAAATTATAATAATTAGACATAATACAAATTGTACATAATTTTATTAAATAATAGTATAAAAGGAATAAAATATCTTGAAGTTTTTTCACACTAGTAACTCACAAAATCGTTTAAATATAAACGTCTGTGCATATACTTACTAACAAAAAATTATAAAAAATACTTTTATAGTTATATCTTTAATAAGAGCAAAAATAGTCAGAATAAATATAACCATGGAAATAACACTTATGTTTGGAAGCTATAATTTTTTTTCAAAAGCGTCAATCACATTAGTGATAATCAAATACCAGTCTCTTTAGAAATAGTTAATCATGTTATTTCTGCCTTACTGTCAGTTGTTTTTAGTGCTTTAAACAATATTAAAAAAATTGCTGCTTTTCGAATTCTGTACTCAAACATGATTACTGACTTGATTGTCTCATGTGTAAAAAAAGTGTTCAGCAAAGAGGTGGAACATGAAAAATAAAATTCAATATAATGCTGCACAAATCTGCATAGTTTTCTTCCAGTATTTCCAATGGCTTTTCCTTTTTTGCTTGCTAGTAAGAATTAAGTTTTATATCCTGATGACAAAATATGTGTTGAAAAATGTACTGATGTTAGTATTGGTTTCTATTGCATTTTAAATAACTTTATGTAATCTTTATCAAGATTGAGTTGTTGCCAAGGTCTTTCCAAACTTTAACAGCTTCATCAATGCTGAAATTATCCTACATGAGGTTATTCAAAACAAATTAAACTGGCTTCAAATGAAGCAAGAAATCATCCACATTTCACCCACAAGTATATTAAAAAATTTTGACTGAATATTCTTGTCTATTGCATCTTGGTTCTTTTCCACATTTTGCATGAGAATTGGCCATTTCATTCCATAGCCTTCAAAAGAGTTGTACACTGGTTTCAAACATATATCAAATACTATAATTAAACCAGTTCTATTGTATACATTAATACTGGTTAAGGCAAAATGGTGATTGAAAAAATATTGTATGATTTGAATAATATACTCTAATATTTAATGCATTTAAATCTTTAGTGATAAATTAAATATATATGCTGAAAAACCATAAGATGTAAAGTGTTTTCTAATTATTCTTGTTTTTGCTGCATTATCAGTTACAAAACTACGAATTTTATACTTAAATTTATTTTCAACCATTTAATGGCATCAACAGCAAGGATAAATAAATTTTCATTCTCGCATAAAAAAAATTTATGTATTTGACAATCTATTTTAGATTTTTGAGAAAATAGTTTCTACAACACGTTTACTTAAATTATACATCATGTGTTTTGAATTCGTGCACTCATCATCAGATTTAACTCTTGAGACTGGACATAGTAGTGACACAATATCCTGCATTATACTAACAGGGCTTCTTTAAAATATTTTTAACAATTTTGCTTTAAATTACTTCTATTTTAGTCTCAGCTTTAAAACTGGCAGCATTCAATTTTAAACAATGTTTAAATGCTTAATGTTTTAATCTGCTGATTGAAATCATGATTTAAATCACTGATTTTAATTGCATGCTTAAAATCATTGATAACCTGCTTATATATGTATGTTACTATAGATCCTAATACAAAGTGTCCCCATTACTAAATGTGTAAGGGCACTATTAATAAATTTACATGCAGAGCACATCAAAAATAGATTTTTGTACCAGAATTGCAAAAAGTAGAGCTGGTTTACAAAATTTCAGGTTCCTAAGCAAGTTGGGAAATAGTGACACCCTAACAGGTATGCCTTTGAAAATTATACTTTCTTTGGGATGGTCAGACAGTTACATAATTTATAATCACAAATCATTTCAATTTTAGCAGCATTTAAAATTTTTTACGTGAGAAGTTCTGCTTACTTTTATTAATACTTACAGATGACGGTGGCCCTTTCAAATTGGGGTTGCCTCCAACTGCATGTGTTTCGAGGCTCCTTAACCAGCCCTGCATAAAGCCTACCGTAATTCTTATTTATTTGGCTTGAATTTTAATTTCTTTTACAAAATATACACCAAACACTTTTTTTGATGTACACCAGACTCAAGTTTATATGCTTACTTTTTAGGTCTAAACAGATAAATTTGCCATATATTCCATCAAAATGCTAAGCCTGTTTGTACTTTTCCCATAGAGCACTTTCAAACTGTTACCAAAGTAAAATGCTCTATTTTGTCGAAGGACTGTACATGTATCTTTGGTAAGAGTTATGTTTAATATAATTAAGGATGTCATCTTTGCCTACTGCAAAATATAAAAAGCTTTTTGTTCAGAACTCTCAACTTTGAAACCCAAGTGCATTGTCAGCTGTCTATTCATTAAATGTATTCGAATGTCCTCTATGTGAAATCCAGATAGTTATATTTAATGTATCACATAAAAATGCATGCTACTTATGATTTTTTGTTATAACCACTGATTCTTTAACTTATCCTGCATATTTCATAAAACAATTATAGCTATAATACAGAACAAAGTCCAAAATTCGGACTGGTCGGGACTTCGGTGATTCAGGATCTGGGATTTTTCCTGATAGATCATCAATTTAAATCTGGTAAGATGGCATGCAGAAATTATACAATTAAAAATATGAAATTGTAATTTATGAAATAAAGAATAATTATTTTCTAAAGGGTATCAAAATTTACAAAAAAAAAAAAAAAAAAAAAAAAAAAACTTTATTTGTTTGTCTATTAAATTTCTTTCAATGTAGGTGTTAAGTTGCTTCCATAAAAAATTCAAAAAAGTTCCTTTTTCTTATATCATATACAGTTGACTTTCCAATGCCATACTCCTCGCATAATTTTTTGAGACAGATATATATGCCTTTATCCATTTTTTGCAGCAATTCCACTTTTTGTTCAATCGACATCGAAACATGGTTTCGCTTTGTAAATTCTTTGGCAGCTCTAGAACTGTAAACTCTTTTCAATATAATCAGAAGATCAAGACCTGATCAGACCTCATTTCGACATTCCAATGCCCTCCTGCACATTGGGGTTACACATGGGACTCTATGTTTCTATATAATTATTGCCTGTTATCATGTTTCAGATCTCCATGCTTATTTCTGGACAGCTCTGAAACACCCTGTATGTATAAAATTAATATTAAGCACTTAAGTTTTTCACATCAATGAAACTGTACTTATTGGCAAAGTTTCATTGTATTTTATTAAATGATCAGCACATAAATATGCTAGCTCAGTTACACTAAAACATTAGTGCAAAATCCCTTAATAGTATTATTGAAAGATTCAATCTAAACATTATCTGTTTGTTCACCACCGCTCTTGAAATATATAAGATTTTAAAACACTGAAATAAATTATTAAAAGAATCAAATTAATGACCAGCTCTTAATCTTAATCCCAAAGTAATCCATTTATGAAAAGAAACTATTTGAAACTCCACAAAAGGACTTTTACTAAGTCAGCAAATTTATCTCACATTTAGCAAGTAAAACATCATAAAAATTTACAACATCATACACATTCCTTTCTAAAGACTATTGTTTTAAAGATCTAAATAAAACCGAGGAAGTAATTCTAAATTAAAAATTTACAACATCATACACATTCCTTTCTAAAGACTATTGTTTTAAAGATCTAAATAAAACCGAGGAAGTAATTCTAAATTACTATAATTTCATATCTAATTCAAGAATTTTAAAATGCTGAAAAACTTGTCTCTGAATGATACCATTTATAATATCATATTAGCACAAAGTCATGTTATTACAAAATGTGCTCTGATAACATAAGCTTACTCCAAAATACCTTCATGAAGAATTGTAATTCAAAACAGAACATATAAAATGAAAATTATGAAACTCACCGTCCATGCAAGGCTTCAGTAAGAGTCGCACCATCTATTGGAGAAGTAGAATGTTCTAAACAGTCTCGAACCTTAAATAAATACAATACACAAGCATCTCAGTGTACATTGAGAAACGTTTTAATAACTACTTATTAATTACAAATTAAGGCAAAATTATTGAACCATTTCAAATTTAAAAACTGATTAAAATTAACAATCGAGTTAAAGATGTAACACACACACACACACACCCTGAAGATCAATGCAATTAAAATTATGTATTCAACATTTATATTTTATAATTAATTTAATAGTAATCAATTGTTGTGAAATGCCCAGCTATCATAAAATACAGGGTTCGTACACATTTCCTTACATGAAAATTAAGGACTTTTAAGACCATCAAAGAAAGAATTAAGAAAAAAAAAAAAAAAGAATAGAAAGCAATTATCATTTTAAGAAACTACGAGTGTATTATGCATTTTATTAAATTCATTAATTGAATTTAATAATTACATAACCAATTTTGAAAATTAAACTACTCCCTACCAGTTATGAAGTAGATAACATTAAATTAAGAACATAATTTCTAAAAACTGTATAAGTGTATTTCACACTAATAACAGCCACAGTATTTTAGAGATTTGCATGATTATTATTTATTTTTGATATTTATTTAAACACAGTCAACTACTATTATATTGCAATGTAAGAATATTTTGCAGATTAAAATAACAGATTTGTAAACATACAATTTATTTCTTTGTTTTTTGAAAGATACTAGAAAATAAAAACTATGCAATAAAAGATACAAAATTTATGCTTTTTTAAAATCTGAAATTTTTTCAGACTTTTAACATCTAATTTATTTATGTCTATTTCCTTTCTTCAACTATTCTTCTAAGTTTCATTGTTTTGATAAACAAATCAATTCCTGCTGGGCTCGGCTTCATCGCTAAAAGCATCTATCGAAGCTGCTGCTGCTTATTTCTTTATTAATTTCGATATTAAGAAACCTCTAGAAAAATTTTAAATGTGATGAGTCATTTAAATTTAATTTCAACTGCTTTATTTACAGAGAATCCCTTTTCACAAAGGCCTGTCCATGTGACAAGATAAGATCATTTTCACTATTTCCATATTTTAGAATAGTGAAACTGAAAATAAGAAATGAGAAATCGTCAAGAGAAAGATTTTGAGAATCAAAAGTAGAAAATTCATGTAAATTTGTCTTAATACTTTGTCTAGAAGCTCTCCAACTGCAGAGCAGAATTTCATCACATTATCTGTAAAACACGTTTATCCGTTAATACGGTTAGAATATTTCATTTTGTTCTGGCTTTTTCTGGGACTTTTAGCCATCACAGGGGGCTATACAAGATGCATTTCGAATAAGAGAATAATTTATGGACATTTTGCCATTAATGTTGTCCTTGTTAAGACCATGTTGACCTTCTTGTTTTCAATGCAAACTTCCAGCTTGTGGAAATGCTCTTCTGCGGCATTTATCATTCATTAACTGCTCAGCATGAATCCCAAATAACTTTCCTTTTATCATTATAACTCTTTGGATCATTAAAATTAAATTATAAAGCTTTTCTGCTTTAGTTATTTTTGATATTCTAATTTCAAAATTTTAAGTGATAAAAGCAATCATTACAAGTTTTAAGATATCTTCAACAAAAAAGGAATAATGGTTTATCGCTGATAATATTCAAGGAAAGGCAAAATATTTTTGGGCAGAGAGAGAAGAAATTTAATTTATAAGAAAGTTTTTCCTTAGTTGCCTCCAAATATGAGAAGGATTTAAGAATTTTTTAAACTGCCCCATTTCAACTTTTTAACATATAGTAGCAGTCTCCCATTTTCAATGGCTCTTTCACTGCTGGGATTTTGCAACCATCGGTAAAGCAGCACTTCACAGCAGAAAATTTTAATTAAAACATTATTTCTTTATCTATCAGGTGGAGCATAATAAAAATCTGCATATGGTTTTATTTTAACAAAAAATGATGAATTTTTTTTTAGGCATTATATTTTAACACTTAAAAAATGTACTACTCGATAAAAAATTGCGACATCGCGAATATTCTAGGCAGCATTTCTGCAGAGATTCCGTTACATCGCTAAAATGCCATAAAATGCTATATTGGCAATACCATGAACACGTTTTTCCTAGCACCCATTCCGCTTATCGGTCATTTTCTTTTTTATTAATCTTATCTTCCGTTTCTTTTTTTTCCTTATCATTTCAACACTGACTTTTATTCGGATTTAGCTTTTTTTTAATTTCTAGTTATAATAGTGAATTAGCTTAATAACAAAAGATAATTTCAATCATTATCACAATGAAATTTCATATCGACAACTATTTGGATAACTGATGTGATACAGTCAAAAGTCGTTAATCCGGACTCGTCGGGACTTCGGCAATTCCGGATTATCGATTTTTCCGGATTATAGATCATCAGTTTAAATCTCGTAAGATGGCATGCAGAAATTCTAAAATTAAAAATATGAAACCGTAATTTATGAAATAAAGAACAATTATGATCTAAAGGGTATCAAATTTGCAAAAAGAAAAAGCTTAATATTTATTTGTTTACTTTATTAAACATTTCTTTCAATGTAAGTTGTTTAAGTTTTGCTTCGTTTCATGTGATAATACTTTCTCTTTAATTCTATTAAACAGACATAATTTCTTGTTCAGTTACAAAGTTCCGCTGTTCAAGTCCTATAATTGCTGTGTCAAGAACACCGACTAATTTTGTCAATCGAAACTTTTTCGTTTTCAATAACCTCTGTCACTTTTCTTCGCTATCGGAAGCGAATTATAATGACGAGAACCTTGTTTTAAATCATATCAAAGACGGAGCATATCGAGATGAAATACTACATTTGGTAAGGAATTATAAGCCAAATAAAATAAAACATCTGCGTTGAAGATAAGGATAGTGCTGACAGATCAACTTCCAATTCATTACGCGCCCGCCGCTGCGTTCCCCCCCGCCGAGCAGCGTGAAAATTGATAAACAGATTTCGGATTTTCAAAACATACTTTCGCTTTAGATCCTTTACATATTAACAAATATATATCGGAAATTCTATTTGATATAATCGAAAGTTTAAGCTTACTTTCATATAAAATTGCTCTTACAGTCTGCAAAAAATAATAAGCCGGATCCAATTCGAAAATTAAGGAACAACGCAAATCATCAACATTAACTGAAATAGATAATTAGATAATTTTAGCTTATACCGTCCATATTACATAAACGCGCACGCGAAACGTATTCTGCACTTGCGCACACTCATATGCGCAGTCGTAAAAGGTCTTACGCGCACGCGTAAACGCCTATGCGGCATGTGTTAGCGCGGCGCATGCGCAGAAAGTTTTTAAGTTTTGAGGTCCGGATTATAGATCATTCCGAATTATGGGTGTCCGAATTAACGACTTTGACTGTAGAAAATTCAATAACATTCTTCTGAAAGCAGTATTCCTTTTATAAAATACTTAAAAATTCTAGTATACGGTGCAGCCTTGGTGCAATTTTGAAAATATCGCCAACACCAAAATGACCTTTAACTACTCATCGTATGTGTCCCTTTACTGCTCATCAATAAAGTTGCCAAAAGTATCCAATCCCTTATGCAGGTACCTTGTGCATAGGATTAACCAAATACTTAATTGTCTATTGAAGCTTCAAACGTATTTCTGAACTTCACTTTTTTTCGGCTAGCGTTACCGAATTTGCCCTTGGTGACCTCAAAATTGAAATGGAGCCAACAGATTTCCCGCAAAATTGATAACAGACCCTCTGCAGAAATAAACTCATAATCCTGATTTCCCATACATATACGTGCAAAAGAGAATAAACTCCCTAGAAGGTGATCAAAAATTAATTTATGGCTTAATTCAAACAAACACAGAAATTAAGGTAAGCAAAACCATGTAAAAACAAATTGAAATGATAAAACGAAACTTAGCTTTCATGTGAATTTTCAGCGCTGACTCTCCCATTCTAGAAATTTCAATTTGTTTCAGACAAAGACCACATTTAGCTTTATAAGGATTGTCATCCATCAATATCCAGTCTTTGTAGTCAGCTTGATGAAGCCACAGTTTATTGAAAATGCACTTTCCAGGCATCTCGTTCCTATTGGCGTCGGAGGGGTTGTGGCCTTCCAGGTTGGAATTGTTCTAATTTTGGCAAATATTTTCAGAATCCCCCCCCTTTTTTTTTACTCGAGCACCTTCATCATCACTTTCGCCTCTTAAAGAACTTCCGGCTTCACGCTTTCATCACAATCTGCCTAAATTTATGGATAACACCTGTTTCAAATGATTGGGTAAACAGCCAATCAGACACCAGATACTTTCGTTCTAGGCTGACTAATTGTTTTTTTATCGTTTGCAACGCAAATCCGCCAACAGATTGGTTAAGAGTCGTGTAATTTTAATTCCATATTCATGAGAAATCACATTTCACACTTATAATGGCAATGATTAGAAATGATAAGAAATGTCAAATGAGAAAAATTAAGGACCATTTATTCATTTTGACCAAAATTAAGGACTTTTAAGGACATAAAAATAATTTTTGAAAAATTTAAGTACTTTTAAGGACTTTTAAGGACCGTACGAACCCTGAAATAGCTTCCCCACAAAGTGGGCTTACGCTTGCCAGAAAGTAGCAAAGGAAACGAGGGTTGCCAGATTTGATGCAAAATCGCCCATTTGGTGACAAAATTGGCGATATGCCACAGACAGAGAGAGAACATTCTAGAACTAATTCTTACTGATTTCCCCTAAATGTTCTTGAAAGCAGGTCAAAATATAAACCCTGCCTGTATACAGGATAGCAGTTTATCATGAAGAGTATCTTGAGTATGTTAAGTTCAGAGACTAGTTTGAGAGCAATCAACTGAGTCATTAGCTGTACTTTACCACTTTGCCGTGAAGTTCTCTTCATCATTATAGCCTTAAGACTGTTTGCTGTTCATTTCAGCATGTTCTTTGCAGTTTTTTGATAGCTGTAAATGTGTCTTTGGAACTCTCCTGTGTAATACTGACAAATAAATTGTTTTG